ATAGCTCCGCCAGTGGATGGCGACCATCTCATAAAATCCTAACGTACACTGTTACAACCAAACCAGAGAGGAATAACATCTTAATTTTTTTTGGCTAGAACATACTCAAACAACACATGATTATTAGTTTCAATTTCAACGCAGTAGAGGTTGGTAGTGTCACCCACATGGCATCTCATCATCACGTTATCTCTGGCTAAACATCTATTTCGGGCTAACAGCCGTAGGAAAATATGTTTTTTTTTGGTGGGACAAAAATCTTCCGTAAGTAAGGAGCACTGCCATAGCGGATTGCACAAAAGTTAATGAATTGGTAAAAGGAACTATACAAGTATAAATACCAGATGAATGCATGTTCCAGACGAGTGTCCAGCTCATCAGTAATACTATATACGTATATACAAATTTTCAAATCCAGCCATGGCTGACATGTTCTCATCAACACAACTCCTAAAGGGAAGTTTGAGATCAATCCCATGTCACACTTTAGCCACAATACTTTTTTGTTAATTATTAATAATAGGTAAAGACCACAATGGGTGGCTAGGAACACGTGACCACACCAAATATGAGTCTAGTTCCTTTTGTTAATTTCCAAGAGAATCAACTTTAGTAGCTTATGTACTTGTCCAACAAAACCATAAAGGTTTTTTTTTTCTCGGTAGATGGAGAGAGGTTATCTTTATGACCAACCAATTTCACCCCGTGTTGTCACCTCCGACAAAGTATCTTTTGGTCCACGAGGCAGGAGCCCGTCAAGCTAAGATCAAAATCCTCGATTGGAATGCCTAGCTACACCACCGCAATCATGTTTCCTACAAACCATGCCCCAATTAGCCAAGTGCTACTTGTGGCTATCATCTACATTTCCCATATTTCTCCCAAAAAAATCTACATTTCCCATGAAAGAAATGAGACATTTGTGTACTTTTTTATATTAATGGGAAATTTCCTAAGAATGGAATTTCATCACAAAAGACGAGTAAGGAATTGAAACAACGGTAGCCTGAAGAAGAATCAGTTTTACTCCACAAAAAGTTTGCTTCTTCCTCCAACCTGCAATGCTTTTGGTAATTTTGTCTAGAGTAATGTAAAGGTGCGTCTAAATACTAAAAATGACTTTCTGAAAAAAGAAGGATATTAAAAAGGGAAGGAGTCAATTTTACAGCAACAAATTTGAACATAAGCTCTAGATTACTAGCCATCTAATCACTTTTGTGGTGATCTAGTTTCATACCAGAAGGATTCTCAAAACATGCCAGAACTCACTTTAGGTTCCTAGCATTCTTATCCTCCTTAATGAAGATAATGGTCTCATCATCATATTACAAGTAGGGAAATATATACATTTATAGCATTTTTCATGTCCCACCATTTTTGCACACCAAGAATGAGATTAGGTAGAAGGCCTCTAATAATATTATGCAAACCATCTTTTTTCTAACATTTTGCTAAAAACATCAACTATTAGATAAAAAGTAGGGTGGGTGGGTGGGGGGGGGGGGGTCTCCTTGTTTTAAACCGGTGCCAGCTACGAAATAACCATTGTTCTCCTCATTAATCGTAATACGAAAAGATCCATTAGGGAGTCCAGAATCTCCCTTGCCCCAGAGCCCTCTACGAATGCAAAATTCTACCTTTCATGATAGCGGTTTGATTGGAGAAAATTAACGTGTCTGCTATACCAGGGAAATTCGATAGTCATTGCTTCACCGATATCGTTCCCTAAGCTTATGGGTCTGATTCTTTTTTCCTCTTTTCCCTCGCATCAGGTTCTTTAATTAGGATCCCCACAAAAAAAGGTTCTTTAATTAGGAATCAGCAACTTACGTCGACTGAGTTAACTTGTACTTCATATGTTCCGCATCAACAACTCATGTGTTAGCTACATATTAGAGAATATGTAATAAGAACATGTTGATGTCGAGCGAGACGTATATATCGCTATCGCATTTGACCGTGGTTTTAGTATAGACGGTCACAGTAAGAGAACCATCATGCGTGCAGGCCGGCACCACAAGGATATATTCGCAACAGCAACAACAGCGGCTCGCTTTCTCTCCACTTTAAATTTGTGCCGGCCGACCTCCCAAAAGTGCTTTGTTTTCCATCCATCTTTCCATTCTCGGTCCTTCCAATTCCTGTCCTCTCATCTTCCTCCACCCTACTTTTGCTGCTCACACATGTTTCTTCAATTGTTCAAGGTTAGTAGTGCTAGCTGCAGGTCAAGTTCATTTCAATCAATTTTGGAAAAACTTTCCTTGAAACCGATCGGTCGAACGGCGGTCGATGCATGATCTTTATTTAGTGCATGCACCAGTCGAGTCCATTGATATATATATATATATATATATATATATATATATATATATATATATATATATATATATATATATATATATATTCTTGAGATGTTGTTAATACCAGAGCTATGCATGCAACACGATTAGTTCCGTAGCTAGCTTGTTTGTTTAGCTTGAGATATGCTTTATGGTTGTGAAACAGAATCTTGCGTTTGTGGTGGTGGTGAGGAGAATCTTTGGCTGGCCTGCTTTGGGTGGTCGCTGCCTCTCTGCTAATATTCCTTGGAACTAGCTAGCTTGCAACATACTCAGAGCAGGACAGAGCATAGGGTGCTCCATAGCCCATACCAGCCAGCAGAAAAGGTACTGGCTAGATATATTGTTCGATCTCTCTCTCCGGCCGGCCGACCTTTGGTTGGTTGATGCAAAGTTGCCTAGCTACGCGTGCAGATTAATTATCAAGCCTCATGGTCGTCGTCGGCTTATAAACATCCATTGCTGCTGGACCGTCAGACCTTCAAGTAGGAGCTAGCTCCAGTTGGTTTGCTTGCTTGATTGGCGATGAACGGTGCGGCGCTAGACAACGTGATCCGGCGGCTGCTGGAGGTGCGGCGGGGGCGGCCGGGGAAGCAGCAAGTGCAGCAGGTGCAGCTGGGCGAGGGGGAGATCCGGCAGCTCTGCGGCGCCGCCAAGGACGTCTTCATGCGCCAGCCCAACCTGCTCCAGCTCGACGCCCCCATCAAGATCGCCGGTACGCACCAGCTGCCTGCCTCCATAAACCCTAACCAAACCCCGATTACAGTATTACTTTCACTACATCATGGTGGACTTTGATCTGGTTAGTGCGTTAGTTGGTAGGAGCACCGCCAGTCCGTGTCCGTCACTACCGGCCGATAAATATGCCTTGTTTTCACTCAGAGTTTACCAAGTCTAAAACTGTGCGTCTCGTCACGTTTACCTGCCCAATGACTATGAGATCATCTCACGTACTATTCATGGATGATTGATTTCACCCATTGGTAGTGTTATTTAGGTCCATTCATGTCTACTTACACCTATAATTTTGTATATTTACAAGTCGGTGCTGCTAGCCGTCTGATATAATCCTCCATATTCTCCCACCTCTGCGTGAATCTCAACCCAAAGATGAGACGGAGATAAGAATATAGAATCTCAATGGCCTAAGATTAGTAAAACAGTTTTGCTAAGTCTTAGTCGGCCGAGACTTCGTTATGTCTTAATTGATGCTACCTTTCTTTGATTTTGCATGGAGATTCACACAAGAAACTTCTTTCCAGTTTTTCCTTTTTTTATATACTAATCCAGTACTCCCTCCGTCCGAAAATAAATGTTTTAACTTTTTACTAACTTTAGTATAAAGTTGTCCTAGAGTTGAGACACTAATTTTAGAACGGAGGGAATATATCACTTGACTGAGACTTGGTTAAGTCTCAGTTAACCGAGACCTAGCCTTAGTAAAATCAGTGTTTTGTTATGTTTTATTTTACCTTTTAGGTCGGTTGTGAATTAACCGACTCATGTTGTCACGCGGCAGGTGACATCCACGGGCAGTACACGGATCTCATCCGACTCTTCGAGCTGGGCGGCTTCCCGCCGCAGCACAAGTACCTGTTCCTGGGCGACTACGTGGACCGCGGCAAGCAGAGCATCGAGACCATCTGCCTGCTGCTCGCCTACAAGCTCCGGTACCCGGAGCACTTCTTCCTCCTCCGCGGCAACCACGAGTGCGCCTCCGTCAACCGCGTCTACGGCTTCTACGACGAGTGCAAGCGCCGCTACTCCGTCCGCCTCTGGCGCCACTTCTCCGACTGCTTCAACTGCATGCCCGTCGCCGCCCTCGTCGAGTCGCGCATCCTCTGCATGCACGGCGGCCTCTCCCCGGACCTCCGCCACATCCGCGACATCGCCGGCCTCCCCAGGCCCGTCGACGTCCCCGACACCGGCCTCCTCTGCGACCTCCTCTGGTCCGACCCCGGCGGCGCCGCGGGGTGGGGACCCAATGAGAGGGGCGTGTCGTACACGTTCGGGGCGGACGTGGTGGCGGCCTTCATGGAGAGGCACGACCTGGACCTCGTGTGCCGGGCGCACCAGGTGGTGGAGGACGGCTACGAGTTCTTCGCCGGGAGGAGGATGGTCACCGTCTTCTCCGCGCCCAACTACTGCGGCGAGTTCGACAACGCCGGCGCCCTCATGTGCGTCGACGACGACCTCACCTGCTCGTTCCAGATACTCAAGCCCGCGGACAACAGGCAGCGGCGTTTCGCCTTCGGCATGGGATCATCCGCATCTACTACTAGCAGGGGGATCCGATCACCGTGGTGCTAATAATTAATATGCATCCTTTGCTTGGTCAAAACGGATGCATGCAATAAACCCATCCATCTTTGATTTCGATCCTTGGCAATTTTGTATACCACAGTTTTTTGTATACCACAGTAAGAGTTTTCTTGCATGTATTCGCAAAAAAAAAGAGTTTTCTTGCATGCATGCATGGTGTAGCTCACATAAACAACAGGAAAAGCAAGGCTTGTATTTCATTTGGAGGCATCCGGACACTCTTTTTGTAGGGTTATATAAACTAATGTCATGCAAATTTAGTTTTGTTGGGTTTGCTTGCATCTACCCCTATACATTTGCCTTTGACATCAGTTCAGATACGATTACAATGAAGAGTGAACCATGCCCGCACACCAAGCGTTGGACGTAGACATTTTTTCAGCTGTTGCCCTTCTTCCTACTAAAAAAGCAAACAAAGAGGACAAAGGTTATGCTGGGACAATTCGATTCCGGCATGCCTATGGAGCTGCGCCCACTTCCAGCTCCATGGGCTAGCCGGCGTCCTTGCTGCTCGGGCCCCCATGGGCTAGCCGGCGCTTCCTTCCGGACCCTGGCTCGCTCAGGCCTTCGGCTACCGTCGCATCCCTCATCGCCCCTCATTCTGCCCAGCCGCCCATCTCCGTGCCCCGTTTGTCCTTCCACCGCTCCATTGCTCGCACTCCAGTGGCGCCCGGTGGCAGGCGTGGCTCCCCCTTCCGTGATTTTGGCCCCGACCTATACCAGACTTCCTCTTCTCTGATCGTGTTCCGACAGCTTGGGATTGCTTGGACTATGGCCAGGGCGAAATCCCTGCATTCGATGCTGGCAGCGGTGACACTCGCGGGTGTCGTCCCCTCCTTGGAGGTGTTGTCACGGTCGGTTTTGAGCCCCTCTTCGAGCAGCGAGGGAAACCCTAGGTCCGGCTATCCGGATCGGACGGCGGCGGCGTCTCGGTGTCTTTCTCCTTCATGAAGGCGCCGCCTTGTTTTGCTTGTTGGTCGTCTTGTTGGTGGTTTGGGCTACTTCTCAGGATGGTGAGTTTAGCTGTGATTTTTTCATTTTGGGCCGAGCATCCCTTGTTTCTCTGCTCCGATCACCATGTTCGCGCCTCTTGAGTTTGTGTCATGTGTTGTATCACATCTTGTACTCGTTCGTTCTAATCTTCTTCTATCAATGAAATGATACGCAAGCTTTGCGTATTCGCGGAAAAAAAGTACCAACCAAGCAAGCCAAGTATCCATTCCAACCAATGGGAAATTGAAACATGTTACCAACGTGAATCCTATGTATCCATCTCTGTGAGCAATACGAGCCAATTCTTCTGATAACTTAAAAAATAAGCCGTCTCCTCCACAACTTTTCTCATAAGCCGCCTTTACATTTAGATATTATTATAGTTGAACCACCATTTTTTTGTTTCGGTGTTACCGGAATATGAGTGTGTGGCTTGTTAGGCGAGCACTTATTTTTCAACTTTTGTAACATTTTTTGAATTTGCAGACATTTTTGAATTCATGAACAATTTAAAATTCGTGCTTATATTGAATTTGTCAACTTGTTTTTAAATTTATGAGCATTTTTTGAAATCCATGAACATTTTTTTCAATTTTGTGAAGCAACGAACATTTATATAATTCAAAATTTTTGTTTTTTGAAATTCATGAGTTTTTTTGAATTCACATTTTTTAAAAATTCATGAATATTTTAAAATTTGGAATATGTTTTAGAATTCATAAATTTTTTATAAATTGACAAACTATTTTTTCAAATTCTTGAACAGTTCATGAATTGGGAAAATATTTGTTAATTTAATCACGAGAGAAAACCAAAAAAGGGCAACCCCGCTCTAAGAAGCTTCTAGAAATTCAATAACCCAAAGGGAATAAAAAGAATGAAAGAAAGCTATCCTGGGTCGGCACATGCGAAAGGCATAGGGTCTGTCCAGGGCACATCTAGATGTGACATAGTTATGTCACATCTAAGTTGATGTCCACTCTGTTTGTGGTCTTTTTTTTGTCCTGTTTTTTTTGTTTCTTGTTGCTGCATTATATATTTGTGGAAGCTTAGATGTGACATACTTAAAAAAAACATCTAAATGTGAATTAGACAAACTGAAAGGCATATAATGGAGACGAGCATAGCACTTGAAAAGTGCGATATATAGCAGGTCCCTACCACCGGGGCCACCGTGGGGCCATACCGCCGTGGGCTGGGCTAGTGGGATCGGGGAGCATAGAGAGCAAACACGCACCATCTTTGATTTTGTTTTTTTGAGGGTATCTTTGATTTTGTTGGCATGTTTACTGCGAGTTTCTTGCACTTACGCATGGTGTCACTCACATAAATAAAACAATGGGAAAAAAAATCAAAGTTTGTATTTTCCTCAAGGCATGAGACACTCTTATAAATGATGTTTGTACGATTTAGTTTTGAGGTGATAATAAATATGAATTGATCACTTTCGAATTCGTGGCCTAAATTGTGCAATCATTTT